CCTTTAATCAAACGGTGACCACGGCTCTAATACCACTTGAAAGGTCCTAATATGGCTAGAGGGGGTGAATAACCTATTTAAAATTCTACAAATCAACTAGAGCAATTTGATTAGTATAACAAATAGCGAAATACAAACTTGCTCTAGCTCTACAAGGGTTGCAAGCCACCTATCCAACAATTCTAGTTGCTATGATCACTAAACACATAATTTTCTATGTCACTACTCACTAAGAGCTCTCACACTTGTTACACTAAAGAGCTCCACTAGATGAACTTAAACTACAAAGCAAGCTCTCAATTCTAGTTACACTAAAGAGCTTGCTACAACTAGTTTGCAAGAATATAAATGAGTGAGTAGGGTGATTATACCGTCTTGTAGAGGAGTGAACCAATCACAAGATGAATACTAAATCAATCACTGGGAGAATACCAAAGGGTAAGAGACAACCAATTTTTCTCCCGAGGTTCACGTGCTTGCCGGCACGCTAGTCCCCGTTGTGTCGACCAACACTTGGTGGTTCGATGGCTAAGAGGTGTTGCACGAACCTCGTCCACACAATTGGACACCGCAAGAACCTACCAACAAATGAGGTAACTCAATGACACGAGCAATCCACTAGAGTTACCTTTCGGTGCTCCACCAGGGAAGGCACAAGACCCCTCACAATCACCACGATCGAAGCTGGAGACAATCACCAACCTCCGCTCAACGATCCTCGCTGCTCTAAGCCATCTAGGTGGCGGCAACTACCAAGATAAACAAGTGAATCCCGCAGCGAAACATAAATACCAAGTGCCTCTAGATGCAATCACTCAATCAATGCACTTGGATTCTCTCCCAATCTCACAATGATGATGAATCAATGATGGAGATGAGTGGGAGGGCTTTGGCTAAGCTCACAAGGTTGCTATGTCAACGTAAAATGGCCAAGAGAGTGAGCTAGAGCCGGCCATGGGGCTTAAATAGAAGCCCCCCTGAAATAGAGTCGTTGTACCCCTTCACTGGACACAACACAGGGTGACCGGACGCTCCGGTCCTATCTACCGGACGTAGGACCCCAGCGTCCGGTCGTGCGATGCACGCCATGTGTCCCCTCTCTTCAAATACTGAGCGCCCGATCCCAACGATCAAGTGATGACGGGACGCGCTGTTGCGAAGTGACCAGACGCTGGACCTCAGCGTCCGATCGTTTCCAGTGAGCATCCAGAAGCGAGAACTCACAACCGAACGCGTCCGGTCATGCTCGACCGGACTCACCCAGCGTCTAGTCACTCGGCGTCTCCCCTATGCGCTGCCACGTCAGCAGGACCAAACGCAACCCTCCAGCGTCCGGTCACTAAGTGACCCAGCGTTTGGTCAGAGACCGAGGCCAGCGTCTTTGCAGCTTCTACTGACCGGACGTGTCGGTCCAACTGAGGCCAGCGTTCGATCACTTACAGTGACCTCCGTCTTTTCTGTATAGGGTGCCGGTGGCACTATCGGACTGTCCGCACTCTACGGGCGGACACTCCGCCGGTGAAGTTCCTAACCCTTGCTCAAATGTGCCAACCACCAAGTGTATCACCTTGTGCACATGTGTTAGCATATTTTCATAAACATTTTCATGGGTGTTAGCACTCCACTAGATCCTAAATGCATATGCAATAAGTTAGAACATCTAGTGGCACTTTGATAACCGCATTTCGATACGAGTTTCACCCCTCTTAATAGTACGGCTATCGATCCTAAATGTGATCACACTCACTAAGTGTCTCAATCACTAAAATAAAATGGCTCCTACTATTTATACCTTTGCCTTGAGCCTTTTATTTTTATCTTTCTTCTTTTCCAAGTTCAAGCATTTGATCATCACCATGCCATCACCATCATCATGATCTTCACCATTGCTTCATCACTTGGAGTAGTGCTACCTATCTCATAATCACTTTGATAAACTAGGTTAGCATTTAGGGTTTCATCAATTCACCAAAACCAAACTAGAGCTTTCAGACGGCGATGGTGCGGCAGCGCTGCGCTGCGCAATGCTCAGGCATGGGCGAGAGAAGAGGGGCGCGAGAGTGAACTGGAGCGAGCAACAGAAGCGCGTGGCTTAACTCACCGCGCTAGCCCGACCGCCCGAGTCGACGTCGACGTACGGCTGCCACGTGGCGCGCCTGGCCTGCCCCGATCGGCCACTGATGGCGACGTTGAAATGGCATCAGTTCCGGATGAACGTGACTGATAGAGCTACTTTGATCCCCAATATCTCCCAAGTTGTTCGTCCAATGCAAAAACTTCCTTAACAAGAATCGTAGAGCTACACGAGATCTACAATATTGCTTACATGAGTTTAGCCTAGATCGGCCTAGTTTATGAGCTACAGCACGACAAACATCGGTACCTCGAAACTGTAAATCCAATCCAGACTTAGAAAATTTTTAAGTCTTTAAAACAGCACTGCATTGATTTTTGTGAGCACGATTTAACCATGTTAAGCAAAGAATTAGACCTTGACCCAAAAATAAAAGTTGTTACCCTTGTCAAGTACTACAACACTACAACTTTGCTTAAGGGTGCACTACCATGCAAATACTATATGCTATAGTTCAACTTAGGTCAAACATAAAACTTGAAAATGAAAGCCTACCTATAATCATGACTTAGAGGCCAAATTGGTCCAAGTCATGAATACCAAAGTTATTCCATGTGACATTCTAAACATGTTTAAGGTACTCCTAGAGTCCCACAAACATTTTATACATTGGTTATATGTAAACCCTAGTATATGTAAAGCATTTAGTAACAAACACATATAATATAAGCAATCATAGAGATAAAATTTGAGATGCTCATGCTCATGAATGATCAATGATGCTTGTGCTCATGCAATGCCAATGCTAAATGCATGCTTAACACCTAGGGTGTTACAAGCAGCAGTGTAGAGTCGCTGACAGGCTGTTCCAAATCTGCGAGCCCATCAGCGAGGTCCTTGAGCCGCTGAGCATACTCAAGAACTGGCAAGTCGCCCTGTGACATAAAGCGGAACTTGGCTTCAAGTGTCATGGCACGAGATGCCTTGTTGTCGAGGAAGAGGTTGGCCGCCTTGGTCCAGATGGTGTGGGCAGAGGCACCGCTCTCCATGATGAGGCACATCACACGGGGTGACGTCGACGAATAGATGAGAGAGCGGATTGAGCAATCAATCGCCAACCATGAGGCATCGGGATCTTCGGGTGCTGGTGTGCCATTGATATGGCATAGCACACCAAATTTACTAGCAAGGGTGAGGAACAGTTCACGCCAAGTGGAGTAATTTGGTGGATCGAGTTCAAGGACGAAGGGGATATGAGTTTTTGACATTGATCGTGGCAAGCGCCGAAGCCAAGCTTGGGCTGGGGTTGGGAGGAGGTAGGGCAGCGACGATCGCTGCAGCCAAGGTGGCGGCAGCCTGGGCGTCGTCGTCTGCCATGGAGGAGGAAGGAGGGACGACCCAACAAGGAGGAGGAGCAGCGGCGTTGGGTAGGGAGGAGATAGGGAAGGGAAGGAGTTAGGATCGTTAATAGGCAGATACCATGATAGAATGATAGAATTGATAGAAACTGGCTTAGCACTTTCCATTCATTGGTCAACAGTTTATATAAGAGATTACATGACTCTTCATATGGATTACATGACTCTTCATACGATGGGACTGTTCATTCTAGACTGATGACATTCTAGGCTATTCGCATTCTAATAGATCCCTTGCCTTGCGGGCTGCTTACAACGCAATAGTAGTTGTGTTACTTGTGTAGGTGAGCAAGCTGATCCTCATGCGTCGTGTGTCTGATTCGTCGGCATGGAGTTGTACTGCCTACAAGCCTAGCTCAGTTTTCGCTAGTGAGCTAGGTTAGCTGGGCAACAAGTGAAGATCCCTGGTGACATCCCTGTAAGTATGTTGGGCTGGGCCTCGTCGCAGGCATGAGCTCAGCCAATGGGCAGAACACCTCTAATGATCAGACCAGAAAGTACTATAGTGGCCGGAAGAGCATGAAAGATACAGCTTGCAGGATGCAGCTAGCAGTTTTGGTTGAGCCGTTGAACAAACCAGGATGATAGTTTTCTGCATCGTACCTTGCGCGCACCTACGCCTTTGATCTACGCCACACCGATGATTGATTAGCTTTCCATTGTCGAGCAGGTTTCTCTCTCAAAAAACAATTGTGAAGCAGGTGAGCTAGGAGGCGATTGCTGTGCCATTCCTGCAGCTGCTGTCACTGTCAGCGTCTCTAATCACTAGTCTGTTTTGAGTATGTACAAACATGTTTAGCTACTATAGTAGTCTTTCACTACAATTTTGCTTGCGTAATGAGGGTTTAGTACTGTACAACTAACCGTGGCCACTTCTAATTGGCTGACCTCTCTGTACAATAAAATGCGCTCTTTTATTTGGTATCATATTTATGATATTAAGATAAGTTGAGATTGGTTGACTTATCCAAATATATGGTCAAAGTTGAGATTGTTTGTTTCTCAGTGTGTGAGATGAAGACTTATTTTGGGAGGGTGAGAGTAAATTTGATAGAGATTAATTCTAAAAAACATTGATAGAGATTAGATACCAAAACGAACGGAAAATATATGCAATCATTCCTTCCCTAGGTGAATCATTTGAGTGTCGTTGATGGTCTGACCTGAAATTTTCAGTGCTAGAAAGGTTGACCATCATTCTGAATGACTGGTCACGACTTTTTCCATGAAGATGCCCATTTTCAGCGAGATGCAGCACTTTGTAAGCAAGCTGTCGCACCTGTTTAGCTCGACAAAGTTCCGGTCACTCTGTTTACTAGTACTTATTTCTGGCACAACAATACAGTATCACTCACTCTTTCTGGTACAACAATACAATACAGTATAACTCACTCTCACCACCAAAATACAGAATTATTTCATGCAGTCGCGCACAAGATGATCAGCAACTCATAATCAAGTCAAATGTTTTCCACAACAACCGAAATCCTGATCGACTACTTCTCGGCCTATTTGGGTATAGTCACCGTGACCAGAAACCCTTTGCCATCGGGCATCACGACGACGAGCCCTTCTTCATCCCCGCCAGTCACGATGCTGCAGGACACGTGCACGGGCTTGCTCTCCCGGAGCGCAAACTCCTCCAGCCCGAGGTCCTGCCACTGCGCAACCTCCGGCTTGTTGCCGGAAGAGCCGCCGGGGACAGGCAGGCTATCCGCGGTGCACGTCTCCACGCTCATCCCTCTCGGGTTGTCCCCGACACCGTCCCTGGCGACGACGAGCAGCGAGAGCCGCGACACCTTGTTGGCCGCCGCGCCGAGCCTGTCGCTGGCCTCATCGACGCAGGCCCTGGCGAGCGCGCGGTGGTCGGGCGCCCCGGAGGCTCTGAAGAGCGTGGTCTCGGTGCCGCCGCCGGCGTCCGCGGCGAAGGCGTCGAGCGGGACGGACTTGATGCGGCGGGTCATGGTGTTGGGCCGCTGGAAGTAGCCCGTGTACTGCATCATCGGAATTGCGGCGACCTTGTTCCGCGCCTTCATCGCCGCGTGCGTGCGCGCCCACGACAGCAGGAACCGCGCCAGCGACAGCGGGTCGCACAGCATCAGGCCGCAGCTCACGCCGACGGCGTATCCCCCGTCGCCCTGGAACCGTGTAAGCTGCACGCAGCAGAGAACAGCACGTCAGAATTAATAATCACTGCTTCGTCAATCGTATCATAGGTTAATTCCTCTGCGAAATGGTGGCAAACTGCAGACTCGTGCTCCGTTGCATGCCGTCTCTCTCTTTCAACACAGCAGGCACATTGATTTCTGTGTCGGCATGGCAGGCTCCTAGCGTGACCTGACGCCCGTGGCAACAAGATGAATTTTCGATCTTAGAGCATCTCGCATCCTAATGTCTTGCTAATCTTTGTTTTTTAGCAAGATTGAAAAAAAATCTCTCTCCAACAACTCCTATTATATCCTCCCAAACTTTTTAGCACTTGGGAAAAATCACCCCAACCGGCGTAAAGTTACGCGCCGCTCCCGTCACGCGTATCTGTCCCCCGCGCGATTTCACTCTTGCCGCCGTCATTTTGGCGTCGCTTCTTGCTTCGCGCCATCTCGTGTCGCCGTGCAGAGAAGGTTTCCGTCGCCGGCGAGCACACTGATGGAGGATACCGCAGTTGCCGGCGGCACCAAGGTGATTGACGCCATCAGGGCAATGCGGGCGGCGTCGCTGGCCACGGTGCCCGTCGTGGACGCCGCCACCGTTGGTAGCGGTACAGAGACCCTTCAATACGTGATTATTGCAAGCACCATCGATCCGTACATGCTGGCGACGCCATGTATCTCTTGCTGATCCCCGGTGTCGCCTGTTGCACTGCTGCAGGGTAGCGAGCAAAGGGCGATCGAGAAGTTCTCGGCGACGGACCTGCGGGACTGCCCGGTGGCGCGGCTGAGCCGTGGGTGGGGATCAGCGTGACGGAGTTCAAGAGGAAGGTGGCCGAGTACCGGGCTAGCAACAAGCCCGTGGTCCCCGGCGCCGACGCCACAGACACCGGCACCCCGATCGCCGAGTACGACGAGACCCCAGCGGCTATCGTCGCCACTGACGAAGAGCAGAGCGAGCATCTCGTGTCACCGCTTCCGATCGCAGGGGTTCGCCGCCCCGATGCCGGGCTTCCTTGCCAACACCGGCATGGGGACCCGCTTCGTGCCCACCTCTGAGCCGATAGCGGCCATGAAACAACGTGGAGATGATTTGAATTTTTTTAAGTGATTTATTAGAAATTATTGGAGATGGCATTCTTTTTTCTCATAATATCTTTTTAGGAGTTGAAAAATATGGTGTCTTAGGGAGAAAAAATATGATACTCTTGGAGATACTTGACGTGCTTTCTCCTTTGCAAAACCCTTTTTTCCTTCTAAAACATTTATTAGCATTTATTAGTAGTAGCTCCCCCTCTCGACGGAACATTTTCTAAGGACCTGTTTGAATCCATCAAACTAAAGTTTAGCTAGCAAAATTTTAAAACTAAACTTTAGCTAGTTAAAACTTCTCCCAGTTAAATTTTAGGTAAGGTGTTTGGATCCTACAGCTAATAGACTCAGCTAAATTTTAGCTTAGTTTAGCTGGATTGAAACAACTAAACTCAGCTAAATTTTAGCTGGTCTTTTAGTTTGGCCGTTTTGATCCTAGCAGCTAAATTTAGTCAAATAAAGTTTAATTAGTCATTCCAAACAGACCCTAAAACGTACTCCATCCATTTTAAAATAATACGATTCTAAATATAAATCTAGATAAATACCTGTTTAAATTTGTACCCACGGTTGTATTTTTCGAAGAGAGTCATAGTAGCACAACAAAATATTGAGAGGACAGGATGCAGGGTGGTACTCCTACATATGGAGTAGTATATATATCAATATCAATATATACAGTACTATCTCCGTCCATTCTAGCACAACATCATGTTTTAGTACCTTAATTTTGATCAATTATAGATAAAAAAGTATCAATATTTATGATACCAAATAAATATCATTAGATTAATTGTGGAATATGATTTCATAATAAATTAGTTTGGAGCCATAAATGTGAATAACATTCACTATAAACTTGATTAAATGTAAACCACTTCGAGAACACTTAATCCATAGTTGCATTCTTTTTTATAGAGGCAGTATATCGATATACATAATACATACAGTACTTCTAGAACCGTTCACTCTACGTTAATGTTGGGAGGCAGGAAGATACACATACACCCCACTGCGCACATGCTGTCAGTTTCCGTTCTGTTTGCAGGTACATCCAAACTTGGGGGCAGGTTTTAGGTGTCCCGTCGAATTTAATCAAACCTAGTACTACCCAACAACAAACTGTTGCTAATTATGGTAAAATTTTCGTTTTCAGTGTCTGCTCAACGAACTCCTTCTCCTCGGCCCATTTTAGTTCCTAAAAATTTTCAATGGTAAAAATATCGTTTCGAAGTGTCATGCATGAAGCATTGCTCAACGAACTCCTTGGAAATCACGAGACTAATCTTTTGACTTAGTCAATTGCCCAAAATTGCTACACTCTATTTCATTAAGAGTATCATTAAACGAGTTTTCGATGGGTTCTATAATTCGTATTAGTATCTAAAAATCCCTCCCGATATCCTTCCAACACATTAACTCACCAACTAAACACCCTAGTGTTGCCCAAAAATGTACACTCTATTTCAAGAGAATCAAACGATTAATTCGTAATCAACTTCACTCTTACTATAATCTATTATTACTCCAAGTGGAGTAACTTTATAACTTCACTCTGCTTTTTTTTTCCGAGTCAGTCACTCTGAGGCTGTGTTTAGTTCGCGAATTTCAAATTTTGCTCTACTTTCGCTTTTATTTGGCAATTAGTGTTCAATCATAGATCAAGATAATTTCCAACCAAACCGAAAGCAATTAGTTTTTTTTTTTCGTCTACATTTAACGCTCCACGCACGTATCGCAAGATCTAGAAACTTTTGGATAGGATCAAGATCAATGTCTAGAAATGGATATCCAGCAGTAAAACATAATAAGTACTCCTAGCGGTCAATCATGCAAAGCAGAAACCAAGCCTGTCAACTGCGACAAGACATGCGATCGGGTCAAAAAAAGGAAAACGTGACGCGATCGTGGACTTTTGTAGCCGCGCGCCACGTATCGGATCGGATCACGCAACGCGCGTCGTCATACCTGTACGAAGCAGAGGGCGCACATATCGGGATCGTCGGCGTCCACGTGGGTCCACGGCAGAGAGAGCGGCCTCCCTGCGCTCGCGGTCCTCCTCGCTCACGCCGGCGCCGACGAAGTCGTCCACCGCGGCCTCCACGGTGGCCAGCACGAGCCTGACGCCCGTGTCGTTGAGCTTCACCTCCCAGCTGGACCCGCCGGACCCGTCCGCGCGGCGGCGCCGGAGGCGGCCCGCCATCTCCGGGTGGTCGGCCACGGCCTCGCTCAGCGACTCCTTCACCAGGAGCGCCTCCTCCTGGCTCCACGGCGCCGGCGCGTCGGCGGCCGCGACCGCGCGGTAGTAGAGCACCACGCGGGCCCGGCGTTGCAGCGCGGCGGCAGGGAGCGGGGCCGCCGCGGCCACGGACACGGGGCGCGCCCGCCCGGGCTCCACCGCGCGCGTCTGCAGCGCCGTCTGCAGGGCCTCGATATGGACGTGGCGCGCGGGCGCGGCGGACGCCATGTTCTCTGTGTTCGTTTCGGTGCGGTGCGCGGCGACCGCCGGTGGTGGATGCAATGGGGTTCCCTGGGCGGTGGGAGGGACCGAGGGAGGCCGGCGCAGGTAGGGCAGCTGGCCGGCCTTTCGCCGTGGAGCCTTGTTATATAAGCGCTCGGCTTGTCTGCTTCGGATCGGATGTATAGGCGGGCAGGGCAGAGTACGTAACCATCATCCGTGGTGGACACAACCTGTACGAATACAGCTCCTTAAGCTCTATACTGACGGGAGATGGTTCCCGTTTCATTCAAATGGATTGTTAAGCATATGTTTGATTTATTGTTAATGGGTTTGCACTGGACTATCCCTTTCTATCAAACTCTCAACCTGTTCGCATTGACTAGAATCTTAATTTGCAGTCCGGAGACCTGTATTACATGTCTTTTCTTTTTGTTCTTTCTTTAACATAATATGGAAATAGATACTCTGTAATATCATTTACTATATGTTTTGTCATCCATGTTCATAGTTTTTGCTTGAGCTAATAGCTGCTAATTTGGTGTTGTTTAGATTCATCTGTTAATAAGTGGTTGGATAATGAGTTGAAATTGCATATGAACTATTAGTACCTATTAGCAACTCTCAACCTGCTAATAGAATTATTAGTCAGTAACCCTTCAACTAATAATTAACAGATTTATTAGTACTTCTGCATGGATCCACTGGTACTAAATTTAGTTGCTAATTTTAAGATGATACAAACAAGCCATAAGATCGCCGACGACGAGAGGGAAGCAGTAGTACCACGATAGGTCACGTACGTAACCGTTTCCATTCAAAGTCTTAGGTGGCGCCGTTGGAGGTTGGATTTGAACTTTTAAATCTCTGGCTCTCTGCAAATCTGCATGGGTAATCGGTTCAACCCCAAACTTCTGGACGATTGGCAACTGCCAACCATCATTCGCAGGCAGAAAAGACAGGCAACAAGCTAACCGTCCTTGACTCCTTACAGTTGATAGTACAATTATGGTTGGCAGCTTTCTCACTTATGTCGGGTTATAGAAAGGCTAACAATTTAGCCTGCCGCTGGCTGAATGCAGATGTCAATCAAGCAGTACAGTATGTTCACATTAATAAGACTGGCTTGAAAGTTAGTTGTATCAAATATATAAATATTTTCTAGGGGAGGAGGAGAATCAAGCACCCTTTAGTTATTTGGAGAAGACAGATCAAGCAAAGTACAATATGAGTTAATGAAGCTTGAAGGTTAGTTGTATCCTCACCAGCATCAGAGATAGACTAGAGAGAGAGGACCTTTTTGACATCGCTGAGAGAGGACCTTTTCGTCTCGGTCGTTGTGTCTCAGTCGGCAAGAAGCCAAGCGCCGGTTCAATACTCTCTCTCTTCTAACGTGGCTTTGTGCTGATGACGTGATCCTTATTTAGCCGGCTTAAAATCGTTATTATACCTGCTTTGATTGTAGCACTAATGTGGAAACTTACTTCCGCTATAAAAAAGAAAGAGTAAAATGCACCAGAGATCCATTAACTTTTGAGAGGAGGTCATCTAGGTCCATCAACTCTCAAACTGTATTTTTTTGTTCCTAAACTTTTAAAGTAATCCACGGCAGATCCATACCCCTTTGTTTATATTTATATTTTACAGAAACCTCCTCTATTTCTTTTTCTTTCACATGCCAACCCCTCCTTGTCTCTTGAGCACACAAGGCTGGCGGGAGAGCGCACTGAGCTTGCATGGGATGGGAGCATGCAGTGCGATCGAGCAAGCGGGACAGGGACATGTCTGCCTCCCTCTCGCGCGCACACGACGTCGTACGCGGCAGCTAGCAGCATGATCGCCGCAGGGTAGTACAGTTGATGATCGACGACATGGCGGCAACAGCCTTCTTCGCGCGCAGCGGTGGCGCGCTGGTGGTGGCAGGCGCCGTCGTGATGGCGGTGTCGTCGTCGATCGGCGTGGCCCGTGCGGACTTCGCCAAGGACCGTGCCATGTGCGCGGACCGGCAGATGGGCCATGCGGCGCCGGTGAGTTGTTTTTTCAGAAGTTTATTGACACTACCACGCACTGTTCTCTCTCTACTTCAGTTCGGATCGCTGATACACATGTAAGTCGCCAAACCGACCGTCAGTATTGTTGTTTAGCGGTACTGATACAATAGCACGTACATGGGCTGTTGTAACTTCAAAAAGGTCATGTCCACCGGGTCTGGGAGCAACGAATTACTGTGCACACGGCCGGCCAGCCGGACGACCTTGCCTGTATTAGTCGGCGCGCATGGCCCTAGCTAGCTAGCTTTTGCCGTGCACCGCGAGGTACGTAGTGTGTGTACGCAGTGGCGGAGCCCGGATTTATACTTAGGGGGGCCGGCCGTCAGGAATTATATTTAGGGAGGCCGGCTCGGTCTTTTTTATTGCGTTAATTTTATTATCTAGTTGTGTTTTGTATAATTATATTATCTAGAAGATATTAATAGGTACATATGACAAGAATTTTATATAATCTTCCTCTTAATACGGGCCGGTGCATACTACTATTTTTTTTTTGTAAAACATTGGGTGGGGGGGGCATGGCCCTGCATGGCTCCGCCAGTGTGTGTACAGTGCCTACGGCCCGGTGCTGGGCAGGAGCCACCACCTGCTTGAGCCCCGCGCAGCAGCTAGTGGGGCGTGGGCGCGCGCGCCGTTGCCTTGTCCTGCATGAACGTCAGGCAAGTCGTCAGGCCCATCAGTCGGTCCGCGCACATGGCGCGATCCTTGCGCGAAGTCCGCGCAGGCCATGCCGGATGACGACGACACCGCCAGCACGACGGCGCCCGCCACTACCAGCGCCGCCGCGCCGTCGATGCTGCGCCGCCGCCACTCGCGAAGAAAGGTTGCCGCCGCCATGTCGTCGATCGTCGTCTGTGCTACGCTGCAGCGGTCGTGCTGCTAGCTACCACGTACGACGCCGTGTGCGTGCGAGAGGGAGGGAGGCGGGAGAGGATCGGAGGCACACATATTCCTGTCTCGCTTGCTCGCACTGCATGACGCCATGCAAGCTCGGTGCGCTCTCCAGCCAGCCCTGTGTGCTGAGAAGACAAGAGGGGTAAGTATGTGAAAGAAAAAGAAATGGAGTGAGGTTTCTGCATAAACGAAGGGAGTATGGACTCGCAGTGGGTCACTTAAAAGATTTAAGGACCTAAAAATACAATTTGAGAGTTGATGGATCTATATGACACATTCTTAAAAGTTAATGGACCTCTGGTGCATTTTACTTAAAAAAAAGATTGTTTAGACAGCCCAACCGATTTACATGAGACTCAATAGACCAGCCACAGCCACAGGTGTAGTTGGCATGTTCCTTAGCTTTGAAACGACTAGAAACCTATATCTCACAAGTGTTTCTTGCATGAGTCGCTTGTGAAAATGTTTAAGGCCAGACTCATAGAAAGTTTTATAGTAGATATTAAATAAGCTACAAAAAATATATTGACCTGTCACAATTTTTAGGAAAATGAATTTTATTTTGGTCCCTATTGGATTTTTCCACACAACCATTCTTTATTATACTTTTAGCCTCTGGCTATAAAAGCATGCTCTCAAAAAACAACACTAACAAATGAGACGTAGTTTAGACTACAACAATTCTACTAGGCAACAATCATCCATGTTTGGCGAAGATATCTAAAGCCACCTGTCTCTAATGTACGGCATGCCCACTTCAACCTTGGTCTATTGCTTTTCTTTTGGAGTATGGTCCAGAAGCGTGTCCAATACGTAACCTAGAAAATAACATGCAGATAAGCACAATATAAGTAAAGGGAGAGATGATCAATATTTTATGGAGTGAAATGAATACTATGAGGATGAATCCAGTCTACATTGTTTCCAATACATGTGGGCTTTGGAAACTGGGAATAAAATCTCCACTAAAACTGACCAAAGAAAAAAAAACGTTTTCATCTTTTTAATTGATTTGAATTTGGCAATAAAAATTTGTAGAGAGTGAAAGGGCCAAGATGCCCAAGAGGGGAGAGAGGGAGTGAATTGGACAAATTTAAGATTATCGCGAAATTAAAATATCATGTAGCCCATTTCACCCTTGTGCCTAAATGGGTGTTTCTAGCCTACCACACAAAGTTTTGCAACCTAGTTCCAATCCTAGTCTAGCATGGCAATTCCAGTAATGTAAATATATGAAAGTATATGCTCAAATGTAAAGGAGAAGGGTAAGAAACACGTCGTTGTTTTCTCGAGGTATTGCCTCGCTTTGATCCATGCAAGGACCAAGTGTTCTCTACGGGTTGATTCTTCACCTTCGGCATGGTGAATCACTCACAATATTTACATCATGAGTTGGGCCTCCCACAATCGCCACTGAGAGATCACCAAGCTCCCAATCACCACCAAGCTGTCTAGGTAATGCTGATCATGAAGGATAATAAGCACAAACTCTCACTTGACCTAACCAAGCCTAATGAGAAGAGTGGATGCACACTTGCTACTTTGTAAGAACTAATGGAGTCCTTATTCTTCGAATTAGCAAACCTAAATCACTCCACTAGCCTCAAGCTCTCTCTTAGTCACCAAAGGGTGTATGCAACTGTTCTGAATGCCAAGAGAGCTCTCATGCATGAGATGGGGATGGGTATATATAGCCCCAACTCCAGAAACTAGACGTTTGAAGCCCGCTCCATTCTTTTTGTACTCATTAATAAATCCGATAACTATTTGAGCTGGGCACCGGAGTTTACCGGTGGCTCTCCAATGGCTAGAATCCAACTAGTCGTTATTGTATGACCACCTGTAGTGCATCATCTAGTGGTATCAAACCCTTACTAGAACCTCTCTGGTGAGCACCAAATTCTCCAGTAACCCTCACCGAATTATTCCAATGAGTCTAGAACCTCTCTGTGCGCTATGTCCACCAATTGTTGACTTGGACGCTTTTTCTCTAGTGCCATCAGAAGAATAGGTGGCATTGTTCATCGAATAGTGAAACCACTATACATACCGTATTTTTCCGGT